GAATACCCTTGTGAGCAGTTGCCCTTTACCATTTGTTAGGACTCTCTTTTTAGAGCAGATGAGACAGTGACAGAAGTTGCACAGCACAGCATGTGGGAGAGGGCATTGCACTTGCTACAGTCTCTTAATCCTGTACACCCTTCAAGTGTCTTCAACCCCCACCTTATGTTTGAGGCTTGACCTAGTCTTTAGCATCCGTGGAATCACTGCTGACTGCAAGAAAACAAGGTCAAGCTGAAATTTCCCAAGCTGAAGTTTCACGTATTTAAAGATGATGAATTCTTGCCTCAAGAAGTAGGAATTGTAGTATGATAAGGTCTTGAGAGAGTACATGCAACTGCAGTCAGGGACTGGAATAGGTCTGATACAGTCTTTTGCTATGCCTACTGTGCTGACAGGGATGCACGTCAATAGATCCCTTCCATGTTTTGAGCTTATTTGGGAATAGAGGTCTGTGCAACTCGTCTCAACCATTGGATCTCGTTGCTGTTTAGAGGGAGAGGGGATAGAGAGGTCTGGGGAGAGGAATGGATCAGAAACACAAAGTCTAAAGTTCCATGTACCTGGAGAGCAAGAACTGAGACCAGTAAGGAGGCAGGCTGAGAACATAACATCCAGAGCTAGTATGAATTCCCTGGGATGATGTTAATGCCACTCCCTTTGGTGCAGGAGTTCCTGACCCCTGAGCAGCGGCGATTTGCTGTCCGGGGAGTTCCTACCTTGCTGGAGGTCTCAGGATTCTCCTATTTCTATGGTGCCTTCATGGTTGGGCCTCAGTTCTCCATGACAGACTATCAGAAATTGGCAAGGGGTGAGATGACTGACGTCCCAGGCCAGAGACCCAATAGGTAATACACAGCGACTTAGCTTCTCACCTTCCTCGAATCCTGGAATGCTGAATCCTCCACTGAATCCTCTACGTTCCCTGCAGCAAACTGCCTTCTTGCCTGGACACGGAAGTACTGTGACCAGAAGTGATTTATAAGACAAGGCAGTCTTTCAAAAGTTGCTTGTAACTTTCTGCTTAATGTCCCGGCATTGTTCCAGGGCATGAATGTCAACAGTCATTTGACATCTTTAGTACAGACTCAGTTCCAACCTGGTAATGTTTAAATCCCAAATGCAGCTTCCAAATGGAGGCAGCTGCTGCAGTGGAATGTGGTTACCTCTCTATCGCTGTCCCCTCTACCTCCACTTCTCCACTTCTGTTTTTAAAATTATGGATTTGATGGTTCTATTTCCAAGGCATTTCTTTGACTCTTCATATTTTTCTTCCTCAGTTTTGTGCCTGCTCTCAAGCGCCTGAGTTTGGGTCTCGTGTTTCTAGTAACCTATACCTTGTCAAGTCTGTACGTCTTTGATGAATACCTCATCTCAGATGACTACATGGTATGTATTCACTTGGTTGTGTGGGGTGTGGGCACAGAAGTGGAATTTGTTAATTTTTAAAGGTTTTTTTTCAGCTTTGCCTCAATTTAAAAATAATTCAGCTACTAGTGATAAGCCTTTCCACAATTGATTAGGCTTTACTGCTGATCTGGTGGATTCCATTTGATGCAGAACAGGATTGTGTTATGGGGAACTGAACCAAATCAAAACTTTTACAAATAGATAATTAATCTTAGATGCTACTGCTGTTTTTGGAAACCTATGTATTTTATGATCTTTTAATTACCCTCCTAATAACAATTACATGCAAAGAACTTCACTAGAGTAATTTACAAGGCTCATCGGAATCTTTGAGGTGCTTACAAAACTCCTAACAAATAATTCCTACTTGCAGATTTTCAGCATTTCTGTGTCAATGTGAATAAATGAGAGTGTAAATTTCACAATGATTATGCTAGTCCCAGAGTCTTCCCAAACTGTAGCTATTTCAGTACAGCCACATATTACCAAAGGAAGGAGAATGATGTGTAAGTTTGCATAAGCCTGGCAGCCTAGTCCGTACAGCAGTCTCAACACATACCTCAGATAAAAACAAAAGACAGTGATGAGATCTCATCTACCTTATCCCATTACAGCCACTCACCTCCAGTTTTTATTTTTATTCTGTTTCACTCTTGTCTCTGCAGGAGAAGCCTTTCTGGTTCCGTTGTGGTTACATATTGATCTGGGGCAAAATTATACTCTACAAATATGTAACTTGCTGGCTTGTTACGGTGAGTCTAGATGTTGTTCCAGAGGCAAAAGACAAATGAATAAAGGTCACACCCTTGCAGCTACTTAGTATGCTCTTGGACGTAGCACTAAATGGAAGAAATTCAAATATCTGGAGATCAGTACAGGTCAATTTAGCTTGCTCCAAGTTAGCTAACTAAAAAACAGGCAGTTTTTAATCCATCTGTTCCATCTGCAGTGGTGCTCTCCACTCAACACAGCGAGTCAGAGCTTTTTCAGCTCTGCCTTTCCAACAAAAAAAGGGCAATATTTTCCTCTTATCTTTCTTGTGCATTTTTTGATAGGAAGGTGTGTGCATCCTTGTTGGTCTGGGGTACAACGGGAAGGACCAGAATGGAAAGCCTTTGTGGAATGCCTGTGCCAACATGAAGGTCTGGCTGTATGAGACAACACCTTTATTCACAGGGACCATTGCTTCTTTCAACATCAACACCAATGCTTGGGTAGCCCGGTGAGCAGGACAAAATTCCGCTTCTATAATGTGTTCGTGACCCCTGTGTCAACAGAACCAAGATCCTCGGCTGAGCAGGAGCATTAGAGGAAGAATCTGCCGGTTTCCAGTTCTTGCTCTTTCTTCTGTGTTTTGCTGCTGTGCCATTAGAAACAGGTTATTGGGTTACTGGGTTAGAGAGATCTTTTAATTCACCTGGAGGGGGAGTTCATTAATAAAGGCAAGCAGTTGATGGCGGCAGAGACTAGAACAGAACTACAGCAAACCCTTGAGGTGCCTGCCTGCTCAGCCAGCCTCAGAACTGCTCTCACAGCTGGTTCCTGCATCATGACTCTCAATGCTCCCGTGCCAAGCTCAACCAGGTTTTGGTTCAGCGTTTGCTGGGACACGGCTAAATTGTACATAATGAAGCCCTCCTCCCCCTTATAGCTGGGATTTCTTTAAGACTGTTCTGATGTACATTTGGCCCTGGTCTTGCTGTATTCTGTTACCACATGGTGTGCAAAGGCAAATGGTCCCCTGGGCCCTGCCTCTCTGACACAGACAGGGAGGGACAGACAATAACCTGGAAGCACTTTGTTTCTTTTCTGATCTAGCTACATCTTCAAGCGTCTGAAGTTCCTGGGTAACAAACTGCTGTCACAGGCACTGGCCCTGTTCTTCCTGGCCATTTGGCATGGACTGCACTCTGGCTACCTGGTGTGCTTTCAAATGGAGTTGCTGATAGTCATCGTTGAAAGACAGGTATGCTTTGTGCGACTTACCGGAATGGCCTGCATCAGTCCTTCCCCCTGAGTCTGGAAACTGCCACACTGAAGGCTTTACTTGGATTAAATGTGAAAAATAGCTGCTTGCTTTGGAATTGATTTTCAAACATTATAGGGTTTTGTTCTTAAGAGTTCAGTAGGTTGGTGGCTTCTGCATGGGCAAACCGTAAATATATTGCAGAAGCTGACGGGAAGGAAAGTGGAAAACTTGGCATATGAGCAGAGGGCAGCTGAAGTGCTTGGCAGCTGGAAAAGATTGGAGCACAAGTACATGAGCTGAATGCCTCTGCTAATCTCCTGGTACTGAGAGAATAGTATTCCTTATTAAAACTTATTTTCTTAGTTAAAACTTTGGCCAGATGAGGTATTTAGCTACTTCTTTAGACTAGCTGCTTACTAAAAATTCATTTTACACTGCTGGATAGAGAACTTTGGCCCCAAACCCCGCATATACAGCCACAGGACATCCAACTGATGAGAATTCTGGGTTTTTTCTTTAAATTAGGTCATAAACCTTGTTCGGGACAGTCCTGCCCTAAGCACTTTGGCCTCTATCACTCTCTTGCGGCCCATCTTCTACGTGCTGCAGCAGACTAATCACTGGATGTTTATGGGTTACTCTCTGGTGCCATTCTGCCTTTTCACCTGGGACAAATGGATGAAGGTATTTAGTAGCCCCAAACAGAGGACACGTGTGGTAACCCTTTTCCCTCCATCCCCTCTCATATGCTCTTGGCTCAAAGCTCCTTGCTGATCCTCAACCCTCCCTTTCTCTTTACAGGTGTACAGGTCTATTTATTTCCTTGGCCACGTGTTGTTCTTCACCTTACTGTTGGTGTTGCCTTACATTCGCAGATTAATTGTGCCACGAAAAGAAAAGCTAAAAAGAGCAGAATAACCGCCAAAAGGTAAGGTTGTGCTAGGCAGAGAGAATCCTGCGCTTGGACCAGGAGGTGAAGTGGGGCAGCAAAGCTACAGCCCCAGGCAAAAAGGCAAACATAAAATCAACCAAAACAAATATAGCACCTTTCTTTTTCAGATTGTACCACCTGTGCATTTGTAGGAGTTGACTTAACACTCCGGAAGCAAAGCATCACCTGCCAAGTTTGCTGTGTTGAAGTATGACTTTTTTCAACGCGAGGAGGGGGAAGGAGAAAGCACAGGGTCAGAGACCCGGAAGGAGGGGATCCGAGTAGGCCTCCTTGAGACCCTCCACCTTCTGTCCGTTGCCTTATCTCTGCCGCCCTGAGGCCGGCACTCGTGTCTCTCCGCTGATACCAGACGATTGTACCACACTCACGGCAGGTGCTGCGTTGGATTGGAGCCACCTTCTGACTTTTCTACGTTTGTCATCTAAGATAAAAATTGCTCCTGGTCTTTTTCACATCGGCTTCAGCTCCTTTCCTCTCGGGTGCCTCGGTGTGGGAGTGTGAACTGTCACATGCCACCGAGCAAGGTGATTCTACAGGACTGAGTGACACCAGGGTGAGCAGGGCACAGCTAAGAATTTCACTTCCGTGACAAATTTGGGCCAAGTCCCTGCTATAAAGGGATCCGGCCTGCCCACGTATGAAACATGAGAAAGTAAAATTCACAAGCACTTTTAAATCAAAAGACACATTTAATAGGAGGAAAAAGGGTCAGTGGGGCACAGTCCATTTAAAAAGTCTCAGTGCTCCAGAAGCAACAAGGACAAAGTTGAAGCCTTTTCCTTTCCAAGAGCAGAAAGTTGCACCAGGTCCACACCTAATTAACAGAGCTTTTCCTGAACATGGAGTCACTGTATGGAAGTCCACCATGACAGCACTAGCAGCAGAAGCTCATACTACTCCCCAGACTTCCTCAAAGGCAGTGGTAATTTTAGCACACGTCAGGGCAGCAGAGAGGGGATAGTTGCTGATGGAGACCATCTTTTCTGTATAGTCAACATTGACCTGAGAGAAAAGAGGGATAAAAAAAAAAATAGAAAAAAAATCCATCAAGCTGCAAGTTTTCCTTGAGCCCCAGCTATCTCCATTAGCACAAGAAAGAGAAGTAGCTACTGGACAGGGTCCAGTGGAGGGCCACAAAGATGATGAGGGGTCTGGAGCATCTCTCTTATGAGGAGAGACTGCAGGAGCTGGGCCTGTTTAGTCTAGAGAAGAGAAAACTCAAGAGGGGATCTCATCAATACATATAAATATCTCAAAGGTGGGTGCCAAGGTGATGGTGCCACACTCTTTTCAGTGTGCCCAGTGACAGGACAAGGGGATAATAACCTTAAACTAAAACACAAAAAATTCCATCTTACAATATGAGGAAGAATTTCTTTACATTGAGGGTGGCACAGCACTGAAACAGGCTGCTCAGGGAAGTCATGGAGTCTCCCTCTCTGGAGACATTCAAAACCCACCTGAACATGCTCCTGTGTAACCTGCTCTAGGTGACCCTGCCTTGGCAGGCAGGGTTGGTCTAAATGATCTCCAGAGGTCTCTTCCAACCCCAACAATTCTGTGATTCCATTAGTTGGAGAGGCACAGTATTTCTCCAGCAGGACAACTGTTAGCCCTCACTAATGCCCTCTCTTGGGAGGGAGAACAGTCCCAAGTGTTGCAGTATTGGGCCTTTTTGGACAAGCCTGTCTGGAGGGAAAATGGGGGCCTGGGCAGGGGGGGAAACCAAGCCGAGAAAAAGGGCAGATAAAAATCTCCATGCTCAGAACAAGACTGAAATTATGCTGGTAAAGATCTTTACAACTCCAAGTGAGGGATATACACACACTTACCGAACCGTGGGCGAAAGCCCCCACTACAATGGCAACTGGCTCCGCTGCAGGAACCAGCTCACGCAGATCTGTCACCTTTGACACCGCAAAGGAGGTACCAATCTTCATACAGCCCACGGGCAGGTGGTCACTGACTGGATTTTTAATCACCTACAGAAAGGAGAAAGTTGACAGGGGTGTAGAGGTAAGGCCACTTAGCTAGGTCCACTGTTTGTTTCAAACAAACAAACAAACAAACGAGCAGCTGTTGTCAGCTGGTTGCAAACTGCAGTAGGAGCTCCCAGCTGGTGTGATTGGAACAGTCCATCCTCATTGTCCACGGTAGTTATGATGTAACATAAGACAGCGTCATTCAGCAACCAATATTACATACACTAGACTGTTCTCACCCAAAAATCAAATCCCCTTGAGGTACACATCATGTTTCCCTGTCCCTCTGCATTACTCACCAGTTGCACCCAGGTCCATGAGCAAAAACAATCCCACAGATGGGTTTGCCTTCACTTGAGGCCACGATGGCAGTGGAGATGCCCAAGGCACAGATGACAGAGGGGTGGGTAAGCCTTGGCTGTGCGGAGTAGTAGACAAATAGTAGAGCCACCAGATGAAGCTCCCCATCATCAGCACTCCAACTCCTGAATAATCTGACTTCAAAAAAGTCTGTGAGACCTTCTCTGAGTGACTGCAGGCAGTGTTGAAAATCCAGGAGAAGCTGAGGCATAGCACTGCTTCTAGGAAAAATATCCTGAACACCACCTTCTTCTGGAGAGGAGCCACAAAGTACACCTTGGGCAGCAACATGGTCAGGATCCCCAGGCAGAGGAACAGAACAAATCCCAGCAGGTGTGTCCAGATGTTGCCAGCTTCAGTGTGTATCTGGAAGATGCTCTTGAAGCAGGTGTGCAAGGAGGGCATAGGGGGCCTGTGTCCATGCAGGAGGTAACTTTTGTCCTTGAGCCAGTCAGGCAGCACATCATATGAGCCACTGCTATTCCCAGACCTTGTACAAAAACTCTTCCGTGTTCTTCGTGGCGTGGTGAGCTTTGTCTCATCCTGGCTGGCAAGCAGGATGCTGCTGGGATCTAAGACAACTCTGCCTTTTATTGGGTAATCTGAATGTACAAAGTACACTTAAGTCATAGCAGTTCTTGATGATGATTAATTCTTCAGTATATTCTTGAGTATATTCCTTCTTCACCTGGAAATCTTGCTTCTGTCTCTGATGAGCAGCACAGTAAGGTCCTGCTCCTGCCCAGTAGCTCCTTGTTCTGGCATAACACTTGAGCCAAGTTTGAGAGAGCACTGGGCGAGGAAGGCCAGGCCTGGCTGCTTGTTGTCTATCCTTGCCTGCTGACCCGTTTCCTCGGGGAGATGTGCTGGCTGGGGCAAAGCATTCTCTGCCAAGATGATGACATCATTATTATCACCATCTTCCTTAGGCTGCTGCTTCTGTGGTGTTTCCAGCAACAAAGGTAATTCTTCATCCAAGGAATCCAATATCATGTTAAGACCCTCATCCCTGCAGTTTATCCAGTGTCAGTGCCCAGCCACGGCAGTCAGGCTCGCACAAGGAAACACATCCCTCAGCTCCAAGGACAGCAGTGTTTGGGGTTCCTTTCCTGCAGCAGCTCCCGCAGCAGATGCCAGCCCCGTGCAGTGACAGGGGTGCTATGGAATAGTGGCCATACCCACCCACCTCTACGCTCCATCCCCTCTCTGCAACCAGGACACCAACCAAAAAAACCTCCCCAAAAGTCCCTCCTACATCGCTGTAGGACGCAGAGCTAGAGTGTTGCAACGTTAGCTGTGAACAGTTAAAGAATGCTTACCTTCAGCAGCTTCTGAGGCCCATCAGCTGCTCGAACACTGAGCTTATGCAGCAGCTGAACTGACAAGAGAAAACGAGAGAAGAAAACCACTTAAGCTGTCAGTTCTTTTGCGGGACGAATCCCATGCTGTGCCTGGAGATCAGGGTTGAGGTACACAAGAAGTCAACCTTTAGACCTCCCAGCACTGCCTGAAGCAGTCGTAAGAAATACTGACCAGCAAGTTATTTTGCTGGTAGCACAGCATCCTGGGGGCATTCACCGCTGTGCTAAGGAACACACAGTTGGAGTATGCACCCTGGAACATCACAGAAGGATGGTTTCATTTCTCTGCTTTTTTTTCTCAGTTTCACATTTTAAGGGTGGTGCCACTTTTTCGCTTTTCCCAAAGTTTTTCTTCTCCTAGCCACCTTCCTGCATGATTCTGTGGCTAGTATAAATTTTGAATCACTTACCCATAAGACCGCAGAACCGATCAAAAGTTCTTGGGATTCTGGTTTGGGGATTGACTTCAATTAGAACATTCTTCTGGGTATGGATATAAACCTGCAGGAGACCAGCCCGATTCAGGGGGCTGTCCATCAGCATCAGGAGACTCTGAAAGTGAAAAACACACAGAAGTGGAAACAGAAATGAACAAGAGAGGATTCTTGGGTAAACTGAGGGTTAGCTCCCACGACTGCAGAAGGGACCAGATGTTAAGGCTGCAAGTTCATCTGACTACTGGAGTTCTACCATAATGCTAAGAAAGCACGCCCAGACCCAAACCTAAAAGCTACAAGCACAACACGGGAGGGCAAACTCACCCCTGGGTTCCAAGGGCACAAGTGTCACTGAAAACCAGGAAATAAACCCTCCAACCCATTTATTAGGTCAGAAAGCAGACATTACTTTAGTCAGTGCTGAGGCACATGGGGCATCCCTCCACCCAACATGTGTGCAGGTTATCAAAACTTTTAACTATACATTTTAGCAAACAATGGAATGAGCGTTCATTGGCTACAAGGTACATAGTTCTCTTATTAATCTGTATTTTAGCTTCTACTGGTTAATTATCCCCCCACTTCTCATGCCACTTAGTCTCCATGCTCAGTTTCTCTCTTCTGTTAGGTCGGTGGTTGCAGATCCCCATGGCAGAATTACCTTCTACCCACTCGGAGCTGATTTCAGCAAAATTATTGAGCTGATTTTATTAGTTTCTTCCTTATCTTGGAAGTCCTGCCAAATGTCCTTGTTACCCGTAAATCCTGCCCATTCCTAGCGGTACATCCTTCTCCCTAGGCCATGTTAACTTCCTCCACCAGGTAGGAGATGACTGAAGCACATCAAGCCCTAAAATTTGTTTTCCTAATACGTGGGCATCACTTAGAGCTTGCTTATTAGATGCTATCTGTTTCACGGATTAAATCTCCCTGCTTATTGATTAGGCCCCAACGTCTTCCCCCGCTGCTGCACAGACTCCTTTTTTAAAGAAATACGGCCTGTTGGGCAGCACAAGCGGGCCCCCGGCCCCGAGGGGCGATCTGCCCAGGCCGCCTGCGGGGCTGCCCCGATGGCACCGGCGCTGCCGGGCCCAGCGAGTACCTGATGGGTGATGTCAGGCCGCACCTCCCCGGGGTCCCGACCGATCCGCAGCAGCATCGCCTTGTGCTTGTCGCAGTTGAGCAGCTCGAACGTCTTCCCCACCTACGGCCAAAGCACGGACAGGTTGGGCGGCGAGCGAGGAGGGCGCCCGCGGCGCGGCCGGACCCCCTCGACGCCCGCACCTTCACAGTCTCCAGACTCGCCCCCTCCAGCACCACCAGGAGCCGCCGCTGCCCGCGAAGCCGCTTCGCTTCCAAGGGGAACCCTTCATCCTTCCTCTCCTGCTCCTCGTCCCCACGTGGCCTCCTGGGCGCCGCCATTTTGTCACGCGGCCCCGCCAGCCCCGCCCCGGCCCCGCCCCGCCTGCCGCGGCCACCCAAGATGGCGCCCGGGGCGCGCCCTTCATCTGGCTCCGGCCGGACCCACTTCCGGGACGTCGCACCGGCGGCGCCGGAAGGCGGGCGCTGGGGGCGGGAGGGGGCGCTGGCGGCGGTCCCGGCGCCGCGGTTTCCCGCCGGAGCGCGGCGGCGGTGCCTCCTTCCGGTGTCCTTCCCGGCGGGGGCGGCGGCGCGGCCATGGCGCAGAACCTGAAGGACCTGGCGGGGCGGCTGCCGGCCGGGCCCCGCGGCGTCGGCACCGCGCTCAAGCTGCTGCTGGGCGCCGGCGCCCTGGCCTACGGTGTGCGCGAGTCCGTGTTCATCGGTGAGTGCCCACCCCGCCCCCTTGTGCCCCCCGCGCCCGCCGCCCGCGCTGACCGAGCCCCCGCTCTCTCCCCGCAGTGGAGGGCGGCCAGCGCGCCATCTTCTTCAACCGCATCGGCGGCGTGCAGCAGGACACCATCCTGGCCGAGGGGCTGCACTTCAGGTAGGGCACGGCCCCCCCCGCTCCCTGCCCGGCCCCGCGGGTGCCCGCGCCCCTAACGCGCCTCCGCCTCCCGCAGGATCCCCTGGTTCCAGTACCCCATCATCTACGACATCCGAGCCCGCCCGCGGAAAATCTCCTCCCCCACCGGCTCCAAAGGTGAGAGAGGGAGGCCACGAGGCAGGAGGGAGAGAGGGGACGGGAGTCCTGCCGCAGCGCCGGTCCCCTGCGTGGAATCAAGGCATGATGGGGGTTGGAATGAATCTGAAAGTTTTGTTTAGTCCCAACCATCGGCAGGGGCACCTTCCACTAGACCAGGTTGCTCAAAGGCCTAATCCAGCCTGGCTTTGAACACTGGCGGGGTTGCAGCATCCACGATCTCGCTTATCAACCTGTGCCAGTGTGTCATCAACCTCCCATAAAGAATTCCTTCCTAGTGCCCAGCCTAAATTCCCCCTCTTCTAGTTCATACCCATTACTCCTGTTCCTGTCGCTGCAGTCCCTCGGGAAGGGCCGCTCTCTGGCTTCCCTGTAGCCTCCTCACGTGTGCCCTTGTGCCCCCTCCCAGACCTGCAGATGGTGAACATCTCCCTGCGGGTGCTGACCCGCCCCAACGCGGCCGAGCTGCCCAGCATGTACCAGCGCCTGGGGCTGGACTACGAGGAGCGGGTCCTGCCCTCCATCGTCAACGAGGTGCTCAAGAGCGTGGTGGCCAAGTTCAACGCCTCCCAGCTCATCACACAGAGGGCACAGGTGAGCCCTGCCCGGGGCAGGCTTGCACTCGGGTCACAGAGAAACTGCTGGCCTGGGGGTGTGGGGAGTGTTGGGACAGGCAAAGCAGAAATGTCTCAGGCTGGTGGACGGTGCGTCCAGGTGGAAAGAGCGTGGTGCTGTGTCCCACTTGCAGCTTGGTTCCAATACAAATACTGAGGTTGTGTCTTTGGATTCTGAGGAGAAGACTGGATCCGTTGGTACGCGAGGACAAAACTGTGCCATGGTGGGAGAGGTGATTTACATCACAGTTTACAGTAGAACTGGCTATTAAAAAAAAAAATTAACCTGGCTCTTCATGGGTCTCAGGACATCTGTCAGAGCAAGTTGAACAGTTTTGAAGGGTCTGAGAAATGAAGGCGAGGAGCAGTTAAAGTAGTAACCTGTCACGTTCAGGTGGAACTTCCTGTGCATCAGTTTTTGTCCACTGCTTTTGTGCTATTGCTTGGCACCACCAAGAAGGGCCTGGATCCCTCCTCTTGGAACTGCCTCTGCTCACACTGATTAGAAAAAGATTAGAGGGTCATCTGGAGGGTGGGGTGTTGCAAAATAATAGAAATATTTAGCTTAAAAAATGCCTGTGTCTGAAAGTTTGTGTTCTGATAATTTGACTGCTGGGGATTCTGAGAGTGCTCAACACCTCTGGCAGCTGAGGGAGAGAGGAGGTCCTGCTCTTCTTTCCAAAGGCTCTAGAGGAGATCCTGCAGTATCAGCAGACTTCAAAAGAGGAAAAGTTGTCAACTGAAGTACAAAGCACTTCTTAGGTAGTTTCTGATCCATGACAGAAAAGGCGAAGATAGGAACTAAGTGTCCCGAGTTGTGTTGTGAGAACTGAGCTGGAGCAGTGACTTCAGGGTTTTGTGCTCTCCACATGGTGTGCACTGGAGGGATTTGTTCATTGTCACTTGTAGAGAGAATGAGTGGAAAGGATGTGACAGCAAAGAGTATCTGAGGGGTTCAGGTTTATTGGAAGCAAAGGCTGTGTTAGGCATCTGTGGTCTTGAAGAAGAATAATTCTGTGGTTTCTGAAACTTTGGAACAAACTGAATTGAATTTGCTTTCTTGTCACGTGTCCTTACTAGCGTTGGTCACTGTGAAGGGATGTGCATTGCAGGCGTTGGTAATCAGAAGAAAATGAGGTGCTTCTATGCAGTTACACACTCGCAGTTCACACAGTGAAAGTTTGTGTCATTATTTTCAAGTTCTGCTCAGGAACAGCTGCAGCAAAAGTAAATGCAAATGCTGGACTGGCCAAGCACGTGATACTGTAGCAGTAGTTTCTGTTTAAGTCAGTATTTGGTGCAGGACTTGTCAGCCTGCCTGAAAAAGGTGCTGGCACGTTAACTGTGAAATAAATCAAAATATCTCTCAGCAACACCCATCTGAGGTGGCTAAAAAGAATGTAGTGGCCACAACAGAGAAGTAACAAATCGTGTGGTCACTATTTTTCCATGTTGGAATACAATTATGAGGAGACAGCCTGCTAACAGTGGCAGATTCGAGGTGGAGAAGGAAATGCTTATTGCCAAAACGTGTGGGAACCGTGGAACTAGATGTGGTGGGATGTGAAAGCCAAAGATGCTTTCAAGGTTTTTTATTTCTGCAATGTTGATTGCATAGTAGTGACTATAAATAAGCTGTAATGCAGCTTTGAAAATGTGATGTGTAGCTGTGGATACGCAGTGTTACTCAGAGGCGGTGTCGATGTTCATGGTTTGGAGCTGGGCTTAGCCACTGTCTCCCCCCGCACTGTGAAGAGCAGTTGTCCTTCACTTCTGGAGTGCACAGGAACACCCTGTGCTTGGTACTACTCTTCTTGCTGTATTTGTGTTTCAGGTGTCCCTGCTCATTAGGCGAGAACTGACAGAGAGAGCCAAGGATTTCAGCCTCATCCTGGATGATGTGGCTATCACAGAGCTTAGTTTCAGTCGTGAATACACAGCAGCTGTGGAGGCTAAGCAAGTGGGTGAGTTCCATTTGTGCCTGAAAAGGGTGGATTGCCTTTGCCTTTTCACTGAATTATTAAACAAGGAAGTGGAATTTGGGCTACTGTGTCACTGCTTTTGTATCAGTACAGGTACAGAGTTATAAATCACAGCCTCCTTAGTAATGGAGCTGAACAGGTTTACTGTATATCAGCAAGCTTTGGGCCATAGCTGATAGGATAGACTGTTGGAGGGACTGAGTTCCCAAGACTAGGGTTCCTCTTCAGAGCGGGAATATGTTACTCCCTGTGGGGATTACGTGTGGAGGGTCTGGATGCTGTGGATTTTACTTAAGTTTTAAAGCGCACTCAGATACGTTTTGTACTTGTGGATGTGGTCCCAGAATGCCATAGGGGCTTTTGGAAACAGAGCCCCTGGGCCTCCACGCTCAGGTTGTGATGGCTCAGAAGACACGATGTGGTTCCAATGCGTGTGTTCCTTCTCCCTGCAGCCCAGCAGGAGGCACAGCGCGCCCAGTTCCTGGTGGAGAAGGCCAAGCAGGAGCAGAAGCAGAAGATAGTTCAGGCTGAGGGGGAAGCAACGGCTGCCAAGATGATATCCTGCTTCGGGAGATTTTGTGGGATGTGGCTTGTGAGCTTGACAGTCGTAAGAATCCATCACACTGAGCTCATGCTCAGGAGACTGTGATCGGATGAAAGCTTCAAGTAGGTCACTGTTATTTATTCCCCCACTTCTCCAGTTGGCTGGAGTGAGGTTCGCCTGAGGTTGCAGGTCAGAGCAGAGAAGGCCATGAGCTTTCACTCCCTGCTATAAGGTTTAACTTTTATTGGCTGTATAGGACCATAATCCATAATGTTCTTGATTTGGAGAAGTAAATATATGCCCGCCTAAAGGCCCATGTTATTGGGATAGAGGTTTATTTTTAACCCCCAAGATGTTTTTTAGTATGGCTTAGGAAGAATTCCTTGAGGGTAGGCAGGTTGTATTTGCAGGTTTTCCTTAACTTTGTTCCTCTGTACCTTGGTGAAGCTCTCAGCAGGAATCCAGGCTACATCAAGCTACGTAAGATCCGAGCTGCTCAAAACATCTCAAAAACGGTGAGCATTGGGGCACAGAATTCCCTCTGTCCTTTGCAGTCCTTGTGCTGTCACCCCAGCCCAGTGGCCATATGATGAATTTAAGGCGAATGTGATCTGCCCTGTCCTGGTCTTTGTTCTTGCCCAGCTATTTCTGCTCATGTAGAGCTTAAGATGATCTGCAATTAGATGTGAGGCTAAGAGTTCATGCCCTTCATGTGACAAAGCCAGATCCACATCAGATTCCATCACCCGCACTCAGCTACAGACACCAAAAGCTCCTGGTTCCCTGCAGGCTGAGAAAGGGGGACAAATAAGTGTGGGATCGAAGGTCTTTGTGACAGAGATGGAATGAGCGCTTCTTTTGGAAAGTCTGATGGCTTCTGGGATGGGAAGTCAGGAAGTTACAGAGTTGTTTTGGGGAATTGCTTTGATTGAACTGAGATCTGAAGTGAATAAACAGGAGTACTGTGTCTGGAGGGGGAGATAGGTTCCTAGTGCTATCGCTCCGTGTGCATTTATAGTCCCTTATGCCATCTCTGTACCGTATTTCTCTTTCAGATTGCTGCCTCACAAAACCGCGTGTATCTCACAGCAGATAACTTGGTACTGAACCTGCAGGATGAAGGCTTCACCAGGTAAAGGGGATGGATGGCTGGATTTGTCTGCACCCTACCTGGGAAGCTGGTCCCCTCTCTGGAGCTCCCTCAGGATCTTTTCTCTGAGAGGGAGCCTGATGCCAGAGGACACAGCCTAGTAGGGAGCAGTCTTTCTTGCAGTGGAAATAGGGGTTTTTGTTAAATCTAATCAACTTACTCGTTTTTTTTTCTTCCCACCCTCCACCCCTTACTGCATTTGCTGACACAGAGGAAGGTAAGGCTCTTTATGTTTTGATCATTTTGTTAGTACTTGGAATAAGGGTGTTGCTGTTTACCCTGGTGCCTGGGATATTTTTGGCTTGGGCCTTTTTGGCCCCAGGAAGTTTATTCCATCTCTATTTCAATTCCTGTTCGTGATGTGAAGCTTGAAGCTTTCCTTACAGGGGCCAAACAAACATCTACATCAAGTAGGAGATACTCAGTAATCGGAGCTCCATGTGTGTCCCATAAGGAACCTTGCTTGGCAAACGCAGGAGCAACTGAGGACCGTTCCCTGATCTGTCACACCTCTACAGGACATCCTGTGTTTGTGGCAAAGAGAGCTGTAAGAAGGCAGGCAGATGATCATAGGAATTTTTGTTAGCTTGGGGTAATGTTCTCTAGGAAGGATGCTCTTGTTACTTTCCAAAAGCTTTCCAGTCCATGCTAGAAATCTCCATTTCCTGCTTTCAGAGCTGGCAGGAATTTGGTGGCTTTGCCTAATCTGTCCAGTGTTTAGTGAAAAAGACAGTGCCAGCTGAGCTAAAATAAGATGCAACTAAAAGCTTAGATTTCTTAGAATCGAGAAGGAAACCAGAGCTGTTTTTTTCTCTGTGGGATCTCTGAGAAGATCCTTTGTCATCACCTCTGACCAGATTCTGTCTTACTCATTCCAGAAGGCTTAAGGGGTTTTGAAAAAAAATACCTAATAGGAAGGACTTGGAAGTCCAGATCCTTTGGGTGCGACACCCCATACCCTAAAATCTGTAGTGAGGGGCTGGTTCAGCTTTGCTTGTGCTTTCTGGACTAATGACTCCTGTCTGTCTCTCTTTCAGTGACAGTCTCCTACTCAAAGGAAAGAAATGAAAAGCTCAAGACTCCTAGAACCAGTGTTGCTGGCCAGCAGAAGATAAGAGTGAGGATCTTTGAACTCCCTCCACTAGCATTGTTTGCCCTCACTTTGAAGTTTTTAATCCAATAGCCAGATTTGGTCCCCGTGCCCCTGCTCCATCTGTGGTGATCAGTTACAGGAATGGGCTTTGCCTGTAGGCAGCTGTAATTCCTTCCTCACCCCACCAGTTATGTTTGGAGAGGAGACATGGGACTGGTATTAACCCATGTGGATATAGTAATTTGCCTCTAATCTTCATTAATCTTTAGATTTCTGTAGGATATCGGAATTCTTTTTTGGTCAAGGTGAGGGAGTTCTGCTGCCAATCAGCACCAGGCTTTTTTTTGTAGTAAATTTTGTTTCACTCTTGATCCCAAGAGAACCTGGGACTGAATTCAGGAAAATACCATTCATTGGGTGCCTGTCACTGCTGGAGTATCTATTTGTGTCACTGCCTGTCAGTGATGCTTTCAAACATTTGTAAAAATTAAAAGAAAAACAAATTTATATTGTGTCTAAGTGTGCTTTAATGCCTGAAAAGAGATGTTGCATAGGGGAAGGTGGAATGGAGATTTTATTTCGTTGAAAACAGAATGAGGATGTTGAAGGGAAAGGAACAAGAGAAATACTCTCCTGTTCACTGGTTAATCAGAGGGTAGGAAGAGAATGAGGAGGTGTGGATGCTCATACAGCTGTGTGGGTGACCAGGGCTGGTTTCTTAGCCAACTGTAAGTGCTAGAAATGAGTATAGGTTTACCTGCTTTTCCAGGTCACAGAAGCATATACATGTATACTCAGTGTGTGTATATATATGTATATGTATGCATACTGTTTTCCTGGCTAAAAGTATAAGACAAATCTCCCTCCACCGACTTTGCTCTCTTCTTTTCTTGGGTTTCAGCATCAAGATCTTGTCTGCTTTAAGGGCTAGCTTCCTCCCTGTCTCACTGGGCTGCCCTATACTAAGATTTAGGACTTGGAGGTATCACATTCATAGAATCATACTATATCCTGAGTTGGAAGGAACCCACAAGTATGGTCAAGTCCAACTCTTCACTGCACACAGGGCAACCTAAAAGTTGTAAGAGCGTTGTCTAAACACATCTTGAACAGAACCATCTCAGGGTCATGACTTTTTCCTGGAGGAGCTTGACCACCCTGTAAGTGAAGTCTTTTTTCCTCATACCCAATCTGAACTTCCCCTGATGTAGCTTCAAGGCATTCCCTCATGTCCTGTTGCTGGACACCAAGGAGAAGAGTTCAGTACCTCCCTCTCCGCTCCCGGTGATGAGCAATGAGGTCAACCCCTGGTCTCCTCTAAGCTGAACTAGCCTTGTATCCTTAGCTGCTCTTTGTAAGTCACGCTGCCTTTGGCGGTCTTTGTTGCCCTCGTTTAGACACATTGTTGTGTTTTTTATATCCTTTTGTCCTAGAGCTAGAGCTGCACACAGTACTCATGGTGAGGCTGGACCAGTGCTGAGTACAGTGGGGCCATTGCTTCCTCTGGCTGGTTAACTATGCTGTGCCTAATGCACCCTGGGATAACGCTGGCCCTTTTGCCTGGCAGGGCACCCTGCTGGCTCACAGAGCCTGCCATCAACCAAAACGCCCAGATCCTTTTCTGCAGAGCTGCACTCCAGTCTCTTGTCCCCCAGTCTGTATTTACATCTGGGGTTACACTGTTTTGGGTGGAGAACTTGGTAAATTTCACATGGCTGATGATTGTTGAGCATGCTCGTCTGTCAAGACCTCTCTGTCAGGCCTCTGTTCCCTTGAGGGAATCAACAGCTTCTCCTAATTCGGTGTTATCAGCAAGCTTAGTGCTCGGCTGACTCCTGTGTCCAGGTCATTAGAAGAAGCTTTGAAGGGAACAGGCCCTAAAACCCTGGGGAGCACTGCTAGTGATTGGCCACGAGCTCATAACCTTTTGAGCCTGACCCCTCAGCCAACCGTTTTCCCACTGTACTGTGTTCGTGTCAAGCTGCGTGCTGAGCACTGCTTGGGATACAGTGAGAGACAGCATCAAAAGCTTTGCTAAAATTAAAAAAACCCCTCATTTGCCTTCCTTTTGACTACTAGGTGGGTAACCTTGTCGTGAAAGATTATTGATTATTGTTAGTAAGTCACGACTTCAAGAACTCATGTAGACTTTGATCAACAACCATTGTCTTTCAAGTCTGTTTCAATAACTCCCAGAATAATCTCCACAGTTTTACCAGGCACCAGAGTGAGACTGATAGGGCTGTAACTGACAAGGTCTTATTTCTTGCTGTTGAAAATTGGGACAACATTTTCCAGCTTCCAGTTGACTGGGACCTCTCCAGATTCCCAAGGCTTTTGATAAATAAGGGAAGTCTTGGAGTAACATCTTTGCTAGCCAACTCTTTGCTATCCTGGGATGAATCCCTTTGAGCCCCATAGACTTTTTGTGTTCAGTTGCAGCAGCAAATCCCATTCAAGTTCTAAGTCAGCCATGAGCTTATGACTTTCCCGGCTGTGGCCATCCAGCCCAGGGCTCCGGGCATCCCAGGGCCCATCATCAGTGTCAAAGGCAGCACTAAGTGTCTCTATCACTACTTGGGGAGCAGGTGACCTACCTCATCAAGTAACAGACCAATGTTTCCTTTAGCCCTCCTCCTGCTGTTAACATATTTAAAACATTTAACATCTTACCCTTCAGCTTCATGAGCTTAGGCCATACAGATATGCTCCCTATAGTGGCAAGTAGCATGTCTCTCGTCCTCCCGTGTAGCCTGTCCTTGTTTCCAAAGTCCACACACTTTCTGCTAAGTTGCAGGAAGAGAGAGATCCCTGCTCAGCAGAGCCAGCCTTCTCCCTCAGCTGCTTGACTTGTCTAATATATTGACCTGGAAATTAGCTCAGCTGGTTAGAGCATGGTGCCAATACTGCCAAGGTTGTAGGTTTGATTCCCTTACAGGCCATTTACTGAAGAACTGGACTTGATGATCCTCGTGGGTCTTTTCCAACTGGGACCATTCTGTGAACATTATTATTGCATGCTCCTGTGCTTTTGAGAGAAAGCCCTTAGAAGGTAAGCAGCTTTTATGTACCCCATTGTCCTCAAAAGCAGAATCTCAGGAGACCTTATTGACTACTTGAGTAGCCTAAAGTCTGCTCTCCCCAAGTCCAAGGGAGTAGCTTTACTGACAGTTTTTCTTATATCAGCAAAGATTTTAAACTCAAATATTTCATGGTCATGAGGGTCAAGACAGCCACCCATAAGACCATCTCTTTATACAAACAACTCCAAGTTGAGCTCTCCAGTGAAAAAGAGAGGCCTTTAGGAACCTCCTCCTCTGGTGAGGCAGAGCACAAGATATAATCTATGGATTCTTGGTTTTAAACTTAGCAGCAGTCACAGCCATAACTAATACCCACATATTTTGACTTGCAACATCAAGGAAGCACAAATTTTTTTTAACCAGCTTTGAAAATGCATTTTCAAGTAGCCATCCTAAAGTAATCTGTGCTAGCAGTGCCTGCATAAAGCAGAGTAGACTGCTCATTTCAGTGCTGTGTTTCTTGATGTACAATCGTGAAAGTTCTTTTTCAGTCTAATTTCTCTGTAGACGGACACATTAAGTTCAGGGATTTGAACACAAATGAGGTTCTCAGGAACCTGAGCTTGCTCCACAAGATGTCCTAATTTTCAAGCTTTAGGTAGAGTTTAAGCTAATTCTTGGTATGCCTTGCTTTAGGCTGTGGCAGCTTTTCAAGAAGGGAGTTGAATCCTGCCTGTTGTAGATACCCAGGAATTTGAAGCAAAGACAGGTGTTTCCTTAGACTAGGACTTTAGTCCCCTCCCCATGACTTAGACGAGAGTATCTGGCATCACTGAGAGGTGAAACATAGTACACCTCCTTCCACGCATCTTTACTTTTGCCCATTGCTTTCCCCACTGTCCGTTTCCTGCCTCTTCCTCTGGTGGCAGCAGAATTGCAAAGCCAGCTGGTAAATGCACACCCCTGTTGGCTCACAGGGCAAGGGAAGCTGAAGTCCGGCACATGGGAAGAGGGTCTGCTTACAAAGTGTCTTTTAGCTTCCCAGTGCTTCCAAGCAAGTTTCTTGCCATATCAAATGATGGCAAGCAGTGTCCTTCCCCCCATTATATTGTGTCCTGGGTATGTGTCTTTATCCCAGGGAGCTTTCTCAGCCACGTGCTCCAGCACCAGCTGCTGAACTCAAAAATGCTCTGGCATTGTTCCTGCCTTTGCTTGCTTGAGGCAGAGGTTGCAGCTGAGGAGGGGCAGAATGTCTCCTAGCATGTGCAGGACAGCATGTGGCATTCCTTGGGGCTGTGATCTGTCTCTTGTAAATTTGCCTGTTGCCTAGGCATAGAATGAAGTTGCTTTTTCTACCAGGATGAGTTCTTTCATCTTGGAAGTATGTTATTGCTGAACCTGTGCTGTGCAGTATTGGCTTGGGGGATGCTATTCCTTGTGTTAGCGGGCCTGAAATCACTGCAGCATCCACAAAGTTTGTCCCCTTCCTTGTACACTGTCCAACCTTGCCTTGGCTCTGTTGGCACCAGATCAAAGCAGGAGACTTTGCTGAAATTGCTTAAATCACCCTACTGCCACTGCCTTGCTGAGGGGTCCCTGCTCCCTCCTGCCAAGTGCAGAGTGCGGGCATGTCCTTGGGCAGGTGACAGGGTTGCAAGGATGCAGTGCCTGCTTCCAGCTGGTTTGTACAGGCTGGCAGCTGCTTCACCTTGCCAGCTCCCAGGCAGTCACCTTGCAGGCACAATGGCAATTACCACTGTATTACAAACAGTGTGGAACAGAGTTAAGGTTCATCCCATTCCTTGTCTTTTCTACCCTTTCCCCAGTCTGGATTTGTGCTCTAAACTGAGAGGAGAGAGCCTGGTCCTAAAATCCCCACTCCAGAGCACATTCTCTGCCACCTAAGCCAGCTGCCACAGAAGGGTTCAGGTCTGCACTCCTGCTGTGTCTTTATCCAGACTCTCTCAGCATTCTCCCAAATGGTTCCGTGCTGAGTGCCATTCTAACACCACCCAGGATAGGCTCCAGCACTAAGGAACGCCCTCTGGCATTCACAGAATTATAGATATGAATCATGGTGGGAAGGGGCCTCCGGAAGCCTTTGGTCCAGGCTGCTGCTTCAAGTGGCACCTTTACCAGCACTAGGTCAGAGCAGCTGTGGCCTTGTCCGTTCAAGGATTGAAAACCCGCAAGCAAAATTTAGGTGCAAAAGCCACATCAGAGTTTGTCAGTCCCTGACAGCCACCAACACTAAAGCCTCCCAGCAGGGAGCCACCATAATTGGTCATAGCTTCTGTTCAGGAGCCTGAAGGCTATAGGAAGTCCTGAAAACTAAGCTAGAGAGGTTCTCGTAAGTCTTGCAGGTGAAATCAGGAGTACAACTACAGCCAAAAAGAGATTATAGGAAAAACCTTTTGGTACTCAGTAGTCAAACAAATACAAGTTTATTTACAAACCAACAAGAAAACGTGACCATCACATCCAATTCTGGTATATTTACAGCACCCATTTGAAGGATCAGAGTAGGAGGATTGTAGGGCAGAGGGTTGGTATTAAGGAAAGAGGAAGCTTCCTTTGAATTGCAGAGGAGCTGAGCTGAAACAGGCCAAAACCTCCATACTTTAAAAGCTGAGGCTTCAGGGAACACTAACAAGCTAAACTAACTCCCAGCAGTGGGCAGGGAGGCAGCTCCTGTGATGACCTTCCTTAGCTGTTCCTCAAGAAGCTGACACAGCAGAGGTGAGTTTGGGCCTCAGTGCTCAGGGAACAAAGGAAAGAAAGGGCCTGATTGTTTTTTTCCTGCTAATGAATGACGAGGGGGCAGTGAGAGACTTTGCTCGCCCGCACAGGCAAGGGACCGTAAAGTCAGTCAGCTGAGCTGGAAAGCAGTCTGGTTCAGGGCACTGAAAGCTGGCAGGGAAGAGAAGGGGAAGGCCTAGTTCCAGTCCCAGAGCAAGGAATGTGAAACAGGCCTGTCAGGATGTGAGCTCCAGTCCAGTCCAGGTTCAAAACCGCCATGGGGCTACCTGAAATTATGATTATTTTTTCTTTAGTGAGCCTTTCAGCTTCTTCTCTGAGGAGCGCTGTTTTCGCACCTTCTCCTCCTTTTTCCCCAAGTTCTCATAAATCGTTGATTCCTCTTTCTGCCTGTAAGACCCAGAGAAAAATAATGGAAAAAGTGAGGAAGAGGAAAAAGCCAGCCAAGCCAGCAGGCAGACTGTTGCCAGAGTGAGGCACAGCTGGGTCTCTGGTTTAGGGGAGGCTCTTACTTGGAGGGTTTTCGTGAAACCTTGGCATGTGCATTCCTCACTGCAGGGGGGTAGGAGATGTTCCCATACTCACACTCGTTTGGCTTGCCTTTCTGAGACTACAGAAGAGAAAAAACAGGCTGAGAGGAGTGTGGTCTGGGAGATGCATGTGAGGCACCATGGATGAGTTCTGGCTGTTAAGCCACGCTTTGTGCCAGGACCTCCGTGGAGGTTGGTGGATTGCTGAAGTCCCCAGGCTCAGTGCATTCTGTCTGCTGGTGTCAGAGAGGAGCAGCAGGAATGCAAACACAGCCTTGTACAGGAGGGAACAGTGGAGCAACAAATCTCTGGAGGCACTGGAATTTGCCTGAGAGTGCCAAATGTCAGCTAAAGAATATTAAACAGCGGCAGCTACTGGATGCTGCCAGAGGCCACAAGGAGAGATAAAGATGCCACTTATCAGCCAGCAGGAAAAAATCCTGCAACTGCAGAATTGGGATGTGAAAGACAAAGAAGAAAGGAGAGGGCAAAGTTTTTGCTTGTCCTAGATTGAGCTTGTAACAAAACAGTACTTGGTGGAGATGGTACTTGAGCTGCTAATGTTGTCCCCTGAACTTAAAAAGTCTCAAAAGAGGGGAACAGGGACTCAGATCTTGCTGCACCACTGTAGTCTGTGTAGGTCCCAATGTTAGCTTAAAGCTTGTGAAACAGAGCACTTGGGCTCAAAGACAACACCATGCAGTCCTAGGCTCACAGGACACTAGAGTCCCCTTTCTCACCTGGATAATTTCCAGCTTTTTCTTGGTTGCCTCTATGAACTGGCAGATGGCCATGTAGATGAACTTGTACTGGGCCTCTGTCTGCACCATCCCAGATCGCTGGGCCCTCACCATCTGGATGGTCTTCTGGATGTCAATGTCACAGTCCAGCCCTAGCAAGGAGCACCAGAAAAGCTTATGGACATGTTCACTGCCTCCTCTCTCAATTCTCTACCAAAAGCAATTATAGGGGAGATCAGTCAAGAAGTTTCTGCCTCCTTCCATATTCTTTACTCCTGTATGGACCTCCTATCTCTCCCTCCTGCTCAGCAACTTTCAAGTCTGGCTCTGGAGCAAGAGCCAAAGCTCAGGGAAGGCTACAGCCACAGTAAGTGGCAACGGTACAGAGATCCAACAGCACAACCTTCTCAGGGCTGGGGCAGGATCTCTCCTACTGATACCTGAATAATTTTCATCCTTTTGCAGCTGGACTTGAGGGCACAGCCCTACTGGGTAGGCCAGTTCACTATGATATCCTTGGGGGTCCTCTTACCCTTGGTGGAGATTGTTTCCACTATCATATCAATGACGATGATAGTCCCAGTGCGGCCAATCCCAGCACTGCAAGGAGAGGACAAGCAGAGGTCAGAGCAAAATAGCTCCTGAAACAAAAGGCATCTGCTTCTGGGGAAGGATGCAGCTCTTGTAGCAGCTGTCCAGCAATGACACAAGAGATTCAATAAGCAGAGAGTTTGGTTTGGGGGCATCAAAGAGGAAAAAGCAAATATAGGGGCTGGCATAGATTTCAGTCACAAGCCCTGGGGTACAGGCTGGAAGCAGCAGGACAGACTTTCTATATCTCACCCTAGATAAGGGACGGAGGATGCTTCAAACTCCAGCCTCTGTACCAACCTGCAATGCACCAGAATAGGCCCTGCACCTGGGATGCTCTCTTGCTTCTGGTTTATCTGGTCGAGAAAGCTGAGGACTCCTCCTGGCTCACTGGGTACACCGTGGTCAGGCCAGCTCAGGTACTGGTAGTGCCAGATCTCACGCACAGCCTTACCCTGATAATAACAAAGCACCTCATTGATGAAACTGCAACCCAGCCCTGTCCCTGGCCTCTGTCCCAGGTCTGAAGCCAAAGGGAATCTCTGTCTCCTGCACACTTCTTGGCGATTCCACCAGTGTGATTTCAGCCCAAACCAAGTGGGAACAGCAGCTCCAAGAATCACACAACAGCAGCATCACCACAGCACCCAACAGTTCCCAGCTTGAGACATACAGTGGCTGCTAGACTCACAGGCTCAATGACAGCCCTTGGTCATTCACACTCACGTTATCCTTTGGACACAGACAGAGCTGCCGCAGTTTGTATTCCAACGCATCGTGCTCTGCAGCATTCTCCACAAGGTAGGGACCATACTCCTTTGTGCTGCCCAGCTCTGGCCAGTAAGGCACACATTTGTTCTGTGTGGGCAGAGAGGGCAGGGTGAGGATGGGCAGAAGGCAGGAAAGAGGGAAAAAGCAGAGCAGTGTTTCAAGGGGAAAGAGGGCATCTCTGAGACACCTACAGACTGCTACTTACCCGCCCTTTTTCTACCTCCCGCGTCGTCATCACGATGATGCGCGTGTTCTCCTGCCACACCATTTGCCAGAAGTCATTGACTGTGGCTTCCAGGCAGCCCTGGCTTGCGATGTAGGTCTTGGTGCACTCATCTGGGCTGATCATGGTGTTCTGATTGTGGACAGGGAAAGGTCAAGAGGGCTGCAGGAGCAGGCAGGCCTTCTCCCACTCTTGGGCATAAAGTCATCTTTCATGAGTCTCACCTTGACATAGTTGGCATTGATATAGTCCGATCCAGGTATATTTGGGTCCCTTCCTTTGAGGATGACTCTGGAGTGATCAACTGTGGTGCAGTGAAAGAATGAACAGTACAATGAGATATTCTGTGTGCAGCCACAAGAAGCTCTTTCAGTGCCCCACACCACCTCGTTCCTGCTTCCCAGTGCATGCAGCATGCCCTCTATCTTCACCTGTCCCTCTCTGGGGTCAGACTAACCTCACTCCATCTTCCCATCCCTCTGCCCCTATCATGGACCATCAGAAGCTAATGAGTCTAAGGCAACCTTCCCTGCTTCCTTCAAGGACATGAAAAGGCTGTGACCTCTCTCATCATCTCTGAAATCCTCAATGCTGCACACCTCATAATCTGTTCTGGAGGACACAGCAGGCTGAGGCAGGGCCAGCGATGCCTTAGACAGCTCTTCATTGCCTGTATGTATTTGATGTAATTTTTTTTTATAGTGGAGAAGCAAGACTCACAGGGTAAGATGTTCTTGTATCGGTTCTTGCTCTTGTTTTCAGGTCTCTGACCCTCATGACGGTCAAACAGGTGCTTGGCTTCCTGTTTTTGCAAACTCTGAGAGCAGAAGAAAGAATAGTCATGACAAGATTACAATATATGACAAGGGAGGTGGGCACTTGGAGGAGACGTGGTGGTTCTGAGGGCACATGGGCATGTTTGTGTGGGAGTAGAGAAGTGAAAAGCAAACCCAAACTTGAAAAGTCCAAAATCTGTGCCCTTGCTGTCTTGGTGAATCATTCTCCCAATCCTGAAAAAGCACATTTCTACCTCACTGGGTTCACTTAAAGATGACATTCACTCCCCAGGAGAACAGGTTCCAAACAGACACTTCTTTCAGAGATAAATTGACAAGACATATGAGAAGTCTGTGTATAGGAAGAAATTGAGGATGGAGAATGAGGTGATGTACTGGGAATTCCCAAAAAGACAAATAATGTCCCCCAGCAGTTTCTTACATCAAATTCCTCCCAGAATCCAGCCTTGGATGTCTCCTCAGATAGACTCTTCTTGTTCAGTTCCTGCACTCTATTCTCAATGTCAGCAGCATTCACCCTTGTAGCATAGTAGGGCTGGGGATGGGAAAACACAGTGGGTTGGCATGAGAGAGAGAGAGAGATGGTGCTGGAGAGCAAAGTCTCCTGTGTGTGTTGTGGAGAAAAGAAGGAAAGGAACACAAAGCAGAAACAAACAGCAAGTCAGTCCCTCCAAAGGATCCCTAAAACCAGGAAACTATATTTACCTGCTTCAGGTATACAAAGGTGCCAGACATCTCTTCAATTCCAATCTTCTTGAAGTGCTCGACCAGATCTGCCAAGCTGTCAAACATTTCAGCACCTCCAACTGTGTAGCGTCCATTCTAAATGGAGGAAGAATGTCTAATGTCTCACTCATAACATTCATAGAATCATGGAATAGTTTGGGTTGGAAGTGATCTTAAAAGTCATCTATTTCCAACCCTCCTGCCATAGGCAGGGACACCTTCCATTGACCAGGTTACTCAGACCCCCATCCTGCCTGGCCTTGAACACTTCCAGGAATGGGGCATCCCCAGTTTCTCTGGGCAACCTGTTCCAGTGTCTCACCACCCTCACAGTAAAGAATTTCTTCCTAATATCTAATCTAAAGCCACCCTCTTTCTTTTTGAAGCCATTCCCCCTTGCCCTATCACTCCATGCCCTTATAAAAAGTCCCTCTCTGTCTTACTCACAATTCCCCTTTATGTACTGGAAGGGTGCTGTAAGGTTTCCCCAGAGCCTTCTCTTCTCCAGGCAAAACAGCCCCAGCTCTCTTAACCCGTCCTACAGACAAAGCTGCTAATGCTCAGGGAAAAGGCAATGCTAGGGTGCAAAGCCATGGGCACCAGCCTGCACCATCTAGAAAAGCACTTCCTCTGACAAGGGAGTCAAATGCAAGTTTGCCCTGAGAACACAGAATTCACAGCACGACAAACTGACTGTACTCTCACTGGATGGAAGCCCAGAGAAGGTACATTGCATTCAAACTTCAGTTGCTTTTTGGCCTTGAAGTCTCTTCATCCCACATGAAAGAAATAGGAGAACTTCTGACAGCCAGGTTGGCAACATTGATCAGGCTAAGTATGGAGGCCCTGCAGATACCCCTTCTTCCTGCTCCAAGAACTTCTAACTCTTTTGATGAACTCGTAATTAGGATACGAATCCTCCTCTCTCTTTTCCCACAGACTCCCTGTACCAGAGTTCCTGGTCACACTGAGCCCTGGCTCCTCCTGTGACTGAGCACCAAGCCCATGCTCACCCAGGCTGGGGCTCGGACACAAAGGACAAGAGAACAGCACTTTGATCCAAATTAAGAAACACTGCTGGTGGTAATCAAGCTGACAGGGCACATACTTCTGAGGACATGATCAGGAGAGGTCTCTTCCATTCCCCCTCCTCTTGCTCTCCCACTGCTCACCTCGCACATGATCTTGATGTGCGTGACTTTGAGCCGGGCCCCAGAGGCACTGGTAGCCCCAGCCGGTGGAGCGTCAGACCCAGGTTTAGGCTGGTCAGTGAGGACAGACAAGACAAAATCCCCGGGTTTGCTGAGGCTCTCCCGCACCAAGAATGTCCAAGGGATGGCTTTGGCCTGGAGAAGTGACTCAGCTGCAGGACCTGACAGATGCCCATGGTACCACCTAGTTAAAACAAGAGGAGAGAGGTGGAGACGCAGTAAGTGGATGGCCTTGAGCTGATGAATGAAGGAGAGTAACACTGGGAAAGGGTGAGAGAGGAAGAAAGGAAGGGGGAGACAGAGAGGAAGGAATGAGAGAAAGAAGAAAAATCAAGGGAGGAGCAGGATCTTGGGGACAGCAGATGAGACAGAAAGTAGAGAGCTGGCAAGAAGAGGACAGGGCAAGGGATGAGGTGGAAGCAGAAGGGCCCCAGGAAGTAGAATGCTGGAACCAGAGGACACAGTGGGAAAGCACCACGTGTGATCCAGTGTGTAACACACACAAGGGGGAGAGTAGTCTGTGGATTTCAGCACCTTCCAGTACTACTGGGATTCTAGCATTATTGCAGCAAGGTGCTTTGGAAACTCAAACACCAGGGGAAAAAAATAACCCCCCACTGAGTCAGAAAATCTCCCGTCAGATTTAACAGCACCCAGATGGTTGTGTTGAGATCAGATCCATCAAAGACCCGTTCCATTGACTCCTCTTTCTGCAACTCAATCACCTCTTCAATCAAAGAATAATTCCCAATCTCTGGGCACAACACACTGCAGCAATCAGCCAAACCACAGGACTGAGCACCAGCAGCCACCTGGAGCCCCTTTTCTGCTCCTGCTGTTTACACTGTTGATCTGTGTGCACATTCCTGTCCTCAGTGCAAACACCCAGTCAGCAGCTCCTTCTCTCCTCCCAGCACAAGGTGAGGAGCATCCCCATCTGACTGAGGTGCTCTCTGCCTTGTGGCAGGACTGGACCCAGGGCACAGAGGGACACAGAGTGCTGCAAATGGCACAGCTGCTGCCAAGCCCCTGCCCACCTACAAAAGGTCTCTGGGAGAGTGTGTGCCTGCCCAGTGGGATCTCACTGAACTGAGCAGTGCAGGTGAAAGTGAAGGTCACCAGAAGCAGGCTGGGACATGGGACAACCTCTCTTCCTACTGCAGGGTTCTTGGCTCTGCAGCAACTCCAGATGCGATCCAGGTTGTCTCTGTACTGGTCCTCTAGTTCTTCATGCCTGTCCCAAGCTCCACAGTCTCTTTGAACCACATCAGAAGTTCTGGGGGGCACTACTGAGCTGCCAAGCAGAGATGTGGAAGGCCACGTTCACTACAGCACTGTCCTGCTTCTACAAAACCCACGTGAAAACCGGAGCTAGAGATCCAAATTATAGAAAGTTGAAAGCTCTGGGGTGCTCTAGGCACTGAGAAGTGTTCTGAATCATCCCACTCCTCCTGATACACAATTTCTGGTGGAGCCTTTGCTGGGTCTGAACCCATCACAGCCCAAGTGCCAGCACAGCCCTGGCACTCCTACCATGGCCCCTTCACTCCTTCCCAGCTTGGTTTCAGGGAGGGGACTTGGGTCCTTCTCCTTCAGCAGGGATGAACCGGGTTGAAACAGTCCCCTCCAGTCCTGGAGCATCCCCATCCCCAGCTGCAGCCTGTGCTGGGCCCTGTGTTCAGGGGGCTTTGCAGCGTGGCTGCTGTGCCAGCCAAAGTCCGTGATCACCACAGCTATGTTTTGGCCACCTCCCCTGGGAAACAGCATTTCAAAAGCAGGTAGCTGTTGCATCAGGTTGACTTGCAGTGTTCCTGCCGCTTCCTCTCACTGCAGGTACCTCAACAAGCACCAGCCACGCTCCCTGTGTCACTGTGTCCGCTGCCACCAACGCCAAGCCAGTGTTTCAGGGCTGTGGGAGCGGGTTTGCTGCCCATGGAGCAGCTAGCAGAGAAGGCCTGGAGTGGTACTGGTGACCTTCACACTGTAAGGAGGTTATCTGTTCCCGGGAATCAAGATGGAGTCAGGAGGCCATGCCCCAGTAACAGAAGCAGCCAGGGCATTCCTTCACCCCTAGATCTGGTCAGAGATCTGGTCATATTGCTCTACACAGTATCTAAGAACTATTCTTACAGCAAGAGGTGGCACACAGTTAGCAGCCTTGGCAAATAATTGCTGTTGATCCTTGCCCTATGCACTGAAAGAAGTAGCTGGTGACCGGCAGTCATTAATTTCTGAACCTCCTTCCAAAGAAGTGTTCAGCTACCATGTGCTCAGATGCCACCTGGGAATCAGCTGACCTCTCCTGCTCCTCAGAGAGGTCTCCAGGCCTTCCCTCCACAGGTAGGATGGAGTTAATGGGTCCCATTACCCCCTCCCTTCCCCCAGCATAGCCCAGCTCTTCAAAGCCACGTGATGGAAAATCACTTGGGGAGAGAGTGAGAGGAGCTTTCGTAAGAGCCTGTGGAGGGGGGTGTGTGTTAAGTTTCCAACCGCAGAGAGGAAGGGAGGAAACTGCAGGGCCACAATGCAATGGCCTTGACTGGAAAGGACAGCCAGCAGCAGACCTGGCCCCTCTGCAGCCAGAGCAAGCTGGGGTGTACACTGATGCTTCGCCCAGGGCATCTCTGCTCCCGGCCTCCAGGTGTCTGAGGAGGACGTGCCTGAAGAGGACTTGCCCACCCCAGAGCAGGGCATGACAGCTCCCTGAGCTGCATCAAAGAGCTTAAAAGCAAAATGCAAGGGCAAAACCACCTGATTTGATTTAGGAACTTTGTATCAGAGACACATGCAAAGTGAGGACAGGAAGGAGACTAAGCAGGCTAGGAATAGCAAGGGAACATGGTCCTGCTCTCAGCTGTGTGAGTCACCTAAGGCCCAGAATAACCAAGGAGGTTTGGGGCAAGACTGAGAGCTTCCCCATAACATGTGACTCTACAGTCTGCTGCAGACCTACACCTAAGACCACAACCTTTGCTTTTAGGAACAGTGTATAAATAGCAAAGGCAACCGGAAACCAGAAGTAAAAATAGAGCCCTCTTAGGTCTGCTGTGATAGGTCAAGGTATAGCCAGGTATTCCCAGGGATGCTTCCCCCATGGATGCACAGGAAGCAGGTGACACTTTTTGCAGGACTTGCCCTAGGGACGCAGGCAGGGCAGAAAGAAGGCCACGAAACACAGAGGAGGTCTCAGCACAGACACACACTGCTTTGCTGTCCCCATACCTTTCTGTCGTGGGGTCGGAACAGTTGAGCGGGTATCGCAAGTCGATGACGGTTCCATCCTTGTCCTGCAGCGAGCCCTGTTGCTGTGTGTAATACTCCACCAGTTCGGACAAGGTAGCGAATTTCTCCCCTCCATACAGGTCATAGAAATCCCCAGTATTCTGGATGCGGATGTGGGTAACCTGATCACCAACCCTGTGGAATAAAGCACAGAGCAGTCCAATGAGGTGGTCGGAAAAGAGGCAGAAAGTGTTCTGCACTACCTCCTGCCATGGAGCCAGAGCAAACCATCCCCATGAAAGATGACTGGAAAGAGAAGCTCCTGCTGCAACTTGAAGGAGGGTCTAGAAGATGCTGGGAAGCTCAGCTTGGAAAGAACTCAAAGGAATACAGATAGGATGAAGAAGATACCACGTGACATGTGAGGATCTCAGCAATCTGTGCATATAACACTGAAAAGACAGAACTTGGTGTCCAAGTTACCTACCGGACTGAAAGAGAAAAATCACCCTGATTCTTCCGACTGGGTCTGGCCAGAAAGCTCCCATGGACACCCCGTCCCTTCAGTAAGGCTTCAGCTTCTAGCCCACTCAGGTCACGGTGAAACCACCTATCAGAGAAGATAAAAGCAAGACCAAGTGAATAAAAATGGTCAGACGCTACTGTGGAGACCTGTGGGGTGAAGAATGGTCTCTGGTCAGCATCTCTAGATGAGAGCCAGAAGCAGCATCATCCCTTCTTACCTGATACCCCCCCCAGCCTATGGAAGCTTCCTATTAGAGAAACGGTTTCCAAGGTGATCCCCACTCTGATCTGTCCTACTTCTCTGGTCCCCCTCCTTACACACACAGACTTTTCAGACCCTCTTACCTCACCATTGTGGAGGGTGAAAGAAGAGGGGGCCAAGTGGCTGCCACCAAAGAAAGTCAAAAAACACAGAGGAAAAATCAGTTTGTGCTGGCAAGAAAAGGGAAGTCGGAGGTCTCTGCCGGAGCACCCAACGCCAAGCTGTTCCTGTGCCTCTTGGGTGCTGGCCATGTATCTCTCCTGGAGTCTACTGTCCCTCCATTCAGACCCTCTCCATCCACGATTTTCTGGGTAGGTGCCTTGATGTGTGTCCCTCTGTGCAGTGCTCTTGGGCACAGGCAGGTGCAAGCCCGTGCGCAGCTGGGCACGCGCGGCTCCAGGAACAGGAAGTGCTCTGAGCCATCAACTCCCCAGCCCCAAGCTGCTTTGCACACACTTCTGCTTCTCCTTTTGTGTCTTTCCCCCCCATCCCCCCTATTATTTTTGGGCCCCTGTCTTTTTGCACACTAGGGCTGACTCTATGCATGCACCTTGGGCCCTGGCCATGCTCACAAAATTCAGTTCTGCACATCCCCTGTTTCCTTTCTTCCCCAAAATGCCAGTAAGCGACATGAGCAGTCCCAAATATCCTACATGCTCTGTACAGGCAAAAAGGAGAATCTGTGCAAATCCAGAGCTGCAGACTTAGAGGTCCAGGTTAGTGCTCTGAACACAGCGGTGCCTCCCTGAAACCATCCTGACCTGGGATAGCACTGACACGAGCAGTGGTAGCTCAAAAGGGATGGCGTGGGAAGGAGGTGGTGGTAAAGCTGCCCAGAAAGGCAGGCAGTGATCAGGACAAACAGCTACTACTTACAGAGCACTGAGAGAGCTTACTCAAGAACCTTTAAGATCCCAGTACAGCCAAAGCTGACAACCTGGACCACTAGGCAGAAAGAAGGAAAACTAGCCATTCCAGTTACCTAGCTATTTCCAGCTACAGCCCACAGCTGCCCTGTCCATAGCACTGGTTTCAAGGTCTGCAGGTCTCACAAAAGAGCTAAGCAGTGACCTAAGAGGGCAATCAAGCTGTCAAAGGAGCCTGACTTTTCCCTGGGGCAATCTCAGCTACACTGTGTGGGCAGCAGGAACAGCAAGAGCCGTGCTCATTTCAAGCACCAGCAGCTGCAGACTTCCCTGCACACCCACCAGACTGGGAAATCCTGTAAAAAGCTGAACAGGTTGCTAACTCCGACCTAGACAAAAACTTGTGGCCAAGACAGAAACTAACAACAAAGGGAAGTACAGGAGAGATGAGTGGGAAGCTAAACTTCATTGCTAGAAAGGCAACCCGGGCACCTACAACAGCTTCCTTTGAAATGCTTGTTTCACACACATGATCAGCCATGAGATGCAGGGATCCAGCTGTACTGATTTAAAACTGATACAAAAAAAACCCAAGGAGACTTTAAAGGCACAGAGACCTGTGGCTCAAAGGAACAGATTCTACACAAAGCTGTAGAAGCTGCACCCGAATCAGAGACAGTGTAGCACTGGCACAGGAAAGTATTGTGTAGAGGTAGGAGAGAAATGGCAGGAACTTCTGGAGAGAAATTGGGCAGCAGTCCCAAAAGAGAATTCCTGATTATTAGAGTATGTTGGGTCAACATGAAGCTAAGGCAGATGAAAAATAAAGCCTAGGCATCTTCACACCTTATGAACTGACTGAAGGAGAAAATCTGTCTGAGGAACTGAACATCAGTTGGACTCAGAAACAGGGAAAGAACAAATCAGCAAAGAGCCCAGATCAGAGTAGAAAGGGTGAGTTAGCACGAAACCCATGTAACTCAGTATTCCCCAGTAGGACAAGCTACAGGGTGCAGTGTAATCCCTGGTCAGTATTTGTGTGGACACAAATCCCGTTTCACATAATTTACGGGCTGAGTTTATGCTTCTGGTTGCTTGCAGCTCAGGAAAGGAATGGATGCACACAGCTGCATTGGTGTCTTTGACCTGGGCCATCTAGTTAAAAACTATCAGGGAGGAGCTCCTGCCACTAAGGGAGGGAAATATCACTGTAGAGAAGGTTGGTATCTTTGAGGTTGCTCTCCCAAATAGATGCAGCACAGAACAGCTGACTACAATTGAGCCACTAAAATACTTTCTTAATATAATTAACATGTCAAGAGATTTCAGCAAAGAGACTACTCTTACACTGTTGTTTGTCTTTCAGTACAACACAGGTGTTAGAACCTCATCTTGTAAATCCCTCATGGAGCCAAGGCACAGCTAGTGCAGGAACAAATTTGCAGGAGAAGATAAATGAAATAGCTAAGTAAAAAAGACACCCACATCTGGACTGCTGTAAACAAAGAGCCTAGAGAACAGCAAAGATGGAGGAAGCTGGGTTTATTCAGCTTGGAGAAAAGATGCTTAAGGAGGGATTTAGCATCTGTCTGAGACTACCTAAAAGGGGCTGGAGGGGTTTAGAGGTGAGTCAGATTCTTCTTTGTGGGACACAGCAAAAGGACAAGAGGCACTAGATATAACTTGAAGCAAGGGAAATTCTGAGTAGATGTCAGGAAAAATTGCACACGTGCTCCCCCCCAAGGACAGTTCAGCACTTGCCAGAAGTGCCCAGAACAGCTGAGGAACCAACCTCCACTCGGAAGATGTTCAGGACTCACCTAAGCAAGGCCCTGAGCAACTTGACCTAGGTTTGTTGTGATCAGGGGGCTGGACTATGCGATCCAGAGGTCAAAATAGTTGTTAAATAATAGAGGAAAAGGTTATATAGAGAATTTCTTTTTCCCTAAGCCTCTATTTGCAGCTATCTGTAGAGTCAACAGTCAAATCCATAACAAATTAACAAATTTAGCACCCTTTGGCAAGGAGTTCTACTGCTCAGCTACAGAAACACCCCCTCCTTTGACCTGCTTATAACCTGCTTCCTGCATCATTTTTATTAACATCTGGTTGTTGTAAAGAAACAAAAATCAGTGACTGATTCCTGTTCCTCCCCCTGCCCCCGCTCCAAACTGCTCATGGAAACAGACCCGTAACATCTGTATCGATCCTCAGCTCTTCACCAGGCTGAAGACTCAAGCCCTGCTAAGGTGTTCTTTGTACAGAACTATTCCACATCTCTGATTATCTTTGCTGTCCCTCTCTGAGATGTCTCCAAACTCTGGTTCCTTGTTTTGGAGAGAAGGGTGATGGAGGGCACAGAACTGTGGCATTCAAGATGCTGCTGAGTCATGGACAGCGATGATTTCTGATGTTCACCACAACCAAGCATTAAGCCAACATCTGCAGGGTCTTATATATACATGTATATATAATTGAAGTTTCACTCTACAGAGGTTACAACTAGTTCGCATTTTATATGTAAATTTTGAATTATTTTTCTGCATGTTTTACATAGGCCTATATGGAATTTTGCCTGCTGTTCCACTGCCCACTTGTTCACCATCATAAGGTCCTTCTGCAATTATTCAGTCAACTCCCACTCTACTATCCTCACTAACTTTCTACCATCACCCAATTTTCTCACCTCACCAAGCTGTATTCCCAGGTCACTTGGGAATATACTGAACAGTGTATATTTCTGGTTAGGCCTCTGTGATCTGGCCACTGATGACTTCCCTTTGCTGTAAAAATGGGATGTTAATTTCCATCTTCTATTTCCTATTTTCTATTAATTCTTTTCCTAAGAAAACCCTAAACTTCTTTTTTAATGCCATGGCTTCAACTTTATTTAAAGACTTTGATGAGAAAATCTTGTTAAATTCTTTAAACCCAAGGAAATTGGCCAGACCTGCCTTATCCACAAGCATGCTAGGTCCCTCAATAACTTCCAGTTTTACAGGACAGGATTTGCCTTTACAAAAGCAGATGCTGTCTCTTTCTTAAGTATCCCATTCATTGCTTTCTCTGTTATAACATCTACCCTCTTGCTCAGATGATGACTTTATTGTTCTGTGCTTTCCTTGCATTTGGGGGAATCTGATTTGGAGCCCTTTTTGAAAATGAGCATTGCATTCGCTACTTCTAATTCTCAGCCCTGAGATGATTTCAGACAGGTTTTGCTGTCCTGCACAGAACTACATTCTAGTTCAGTCTAGTTAGTGCAGAGTGAAGGTCATTTGGGCTTAGGGAACAGACCCTCTTCCTATGACTGGCTGAAGCCAGATGCTCTCCGTCAGGCTATGGGACCCCAGGACAGTGCTGGATCAGCAAGGTTGCCCAAATCCTTACCACAGAGTAATGCTAGAGCGAACCCCATTTCCTGACACCCTGCAACTGCAGTCTCCAGAGCAGAGCACCTGTTTGGACTGACCAAGAAGGTTGTATGTCCTCCTGTTTCATAAAGGGCTAGAAAGATCATAGCAAATCAAGAAATAACAAGGATTTAAAAGGTTAGACATCTGAGCTCTCTCTGTGTCCAATACACTGAGAGATGCTGCAGCTGTGGCAGAGGAACTCCAAACCCCTTACCAAAGTGAGAAGGAGCAACAGTAACAGCAATAACAATCTAAAACACTGGGAGCTCCAGTTCTCTGGCTATTAGAAGGTGGGTTTTTTTCCTTCTATGCCTAATTCGTAGTGCCAATATTTTTATTTTTCTCACCAACAACTCTTGTTTTCTAGCCCTAACTAGCATTCATAGCACTCACCCACGGGATGGCATCAGGGTCTCGTCTCTCAGATCCCCACTGATGGAGGACTGACAGGAGCTGGTGGAGGAAGCACCACAACCCTCAACCCACGGGGTCCTACTAAAAAAAATAAAGCAAGATTGGAATTACCAGGACAGTATCTTGAGATGGATTTGGGAGAGAAATCAAAGACCTTAGTAGTGGAGGGGTGGACTCGCACCCTCCCGACAGGGCTGGATGTTCATGGCGGTGAGTGCCAGGGCTCTGGAGCAGCAGCTGGCAGTGCTTGGGGGCTGCGGCACCTCCCGTGACTCACCTGATCCGCACGGGCAGAGTCCTGAACTCCGCCTGTTCCTAGGCGGACTGAGAAGAAGGTAGCTCCAGGTCAGGCAAACCTCAGGCCTCAAGCAGAGGGCTTAATTGTCACTATTTGCAAAGTGCTTCCTGGACTGCAGTTAATGAATAATCAGAGGGGTGGGGGAAGGCCAAGGCCAAGCTGGGAGAGGCAGATGGAGACGGAAGGGACCGACTGCTCTTCCTGCCTCCTATCCACTGAGCTCACGCCCTCCCTGGCTACATTCCTGCCAGGTTTGTAACCGAAAGGCACAGAAGCAGCTCTCTCATACCTGGCTCGCAGCTCCCTGCTCTCCCAGGCTGGCTCCCTCACCCCCAGCTCTGCCACTCTCCTCAAAGACCTCAACTCTTCAAAGGGCAATGGGCACATGGGGCAGGAGGCTACAAACAGACATACCTGATGTCCCTCCATTTGAATCACACTGGAAACACAGTGTCGCGCTGGAGAGAGGCTACTCCACGAGGTTAATCCCTCTGCAGTCCCAAAAAATGTGAGGTACGATTTTATATTGTTTATGTTGTTCTAATCCAGGCTGCAGCCAAATGGGGCAAGCCCAGCCCTCCCACGCTCTGCCACTCCCTGCTGCATCTCTCTGCTGCCTTTTTCACTAGGGATAATGTGCTGGATTGCACATTCAGCCAGAAAACAAGGCAGCCACAGACACCAGAGGCAGGAGTAAGTTAGCACCGACCCTGCCGGGGACAGCAGGCTCAGTGGCATCAACAGCACTTGATCATGCTTAGTGACACGTTACCTAGTATGTTTCAAACAACGCATTTGTAAATGCTCGCTCTTAAGGCCTAGCACCTCCTACTAAAAAAAAAAAAAAAAAAAAGTCTCTCTGACAGGGTTTCACACTAAGGCTCTGCACAAACCTTTTGGCAGAAGGTACTGCACACTGGGCCTTCTGGAACAACAGAGGCTCAGTGTGTCATGAGGCAGGCACTGCTGCACCTGTACCTGCCACTGCCCCAGGGAGCAGCACCCGTGCCTGGGGAGCACTGCTGAGCTCATGGTCATTCATAGAACACGGGCATTTTCAACACACGTTTTATTCACGAGCAGACACACGAGCAGGCACGAAGCATATCGTTCCCTCCAGGTCAGCATCTCCCTTGTTCGAGCGCTCCATTCCCAGGGCTGACAGGACCGCACCTTGGGAAGGAAGGCACGCGCCGGAGCAGCGGGAGAGCTCCGCGGGCTCAGGAAGCGGCAACTCCGCCGGTCCCGGCCCCATGCGGCGGCAGAGTCATGGGCGGCAGGAACATGGCCTTGAGCTTGCCCGACATGCTGGCGATCTCCGGGTCCTGCGACTCGTAGGACTTGATCAGCCGGGCGAACTTCAGGACCCCTGCAAGGAGAAGGGGGTGGGCAGGGGGCCCTCGCTGCCCCGGCGGGCCCGGAGCAACCCGCCCGGCGGGGGCGCAACCCACCTTCGCCGTCGCTGCTGAAGCCGTAGGCCTTGATCACTTCTTGCTGGATCTGGGTGGCCACGGGCAGCAGGAACTGCAGCATCTTGCCCATGTCGTTGCAGGCGTTGTCCCGAGCCTCCTCCATGCGCTGCGCGTTTTCGGGCGCCCCGAACGCCTTGATCACCTCCGCCAGCACAGCTGCAGGACACGGAGATACGGGCACTCAGCCGCCTGTCATCCCCCCGCACTCACCGCCGCGGGACACGGGCGCTCAGCCACCCGGGAGGCGGGGAGGTGCGGGGACGGGGATGAGAGCACGGAGTGACCCTGCGGCACTCACCCTTCGCCTGCTCGGCGCTCAGCGCGGCCGGGCCCGCGGTCTGCGCGGACGCCGCCATGGGGCGCGGCGAGGCGGCCGCGCCTCCCAACCCGCACCGACGGACGGCGGCACGGACTCCACGCGCGCCTGCGCAGGCCCGCCCCTCTCTGCCATTGGACCGGTGGGTGTGGCGGCTTCCCGCGAGCGCGGGAAACCTGCTGGACAAATTCTAAAAGAGCTGAAATCACTGCCGGGCATGCGCCCCGCGCCGGCCTCCATTGCGGACCGACCCGCCCCGAGGTGAGGGCGAGAGAAACGTCTCCCCCAGGCTGTCCCTCCCGATGTTCCCCAGCCCCGCCACTCCCGCCCGGCCCTCCCCGCGCTCCCACCGGCACCCACCGCCGCCGACTAACGAGCCCGGCCGCGCCGGTCGGGCTGTATGCAAATCAACAGCTTCCCATTGGCGCTGAGGTGCTTAGGCCCGCCCCTACAGGCGAAAGGGGCGTGGCTCCCGCTTACCAGCTCCTCCTCGGCTTTCCCCGCTCCCAGCCCTTCCCTGTTTTCACCGAGAATCTTATGTTACTGCCCTTCCCCTCACGGCCCCAGTGAAAAGAAATGAACACACCGGAGTCCCGTTTCTGGAAGGGTTTTTTTTGTCCTTTTTTTTTTTTTTTTTTGTCCTTTTGTAAGAGCTTCATATATATATTTATATATATAAATTATTAGAATGTGTGTCGGTGCTCGGGAGTGCGTGGGGAACGTAGTTTTTGAGTGTCTGGCTTTGCTTTTTTTTCCATAGCTGGGTTGTTGGTTGGTTCTCCTTTTAATGGTTAAGTAAATATATATATATATATGGGGGACCAATTGAGAGATACAACTGTGAAATCAGAACACGCACGCGGGGGCAAGGGAGTCACAAGTTGCTACATAAAACTGCCACGTCTAATAGGATGTGCATGAGTTAAAGTACATCAATTAGGATGGGTGAGGGGAAAGGGGCAGCTGCCCTCTTACAGTCCCAGGACTCAGTGTCACTGCTCAGCCACGTCATCTCTCCCCGTGGGGCTCAGAGGGGTCGCGGTGGTGACCACAGTCTTGAAAACAGTGTCCTGGTGCTTTGCACCTCGTGGCCATGCCCATTCCCGTCAGCCACGGGAAAGCGCAGCCACCATCCTGCAAACAGTCTTGCGGTGCTTTGCACCCCGATGGCTGGGACCAGACCCTCAGCAGGCAGGAGCGGCCACTCAGGAAGGGGTCTTGTAATGCTTTGTTTGCATCTGAAGGGGTCTGGAGAATGGGAAGCTGCTCTGGTTAATCTGAAAAAGTTTCATGTTGCTCTTCTGTATCGCTAAGCAGTATCTTACACCTAAAGGGGGGGTGGGGTGTTGAGGAGGCATCTTGAAAAAAGGCTCTGTTGGGTTTGGAGTTACTTCTTGGCTGCACCTCATCCTCACAGAAGTAGAAAAGGCAGCAGCATCCTGTACATGAAGTCCTGCAATGCTCTGCACTTTTTATTTAATGCAACTGTTACCCCAAAACAAAGGATGGAGCTGCTGCCACCCTGAATTCATGTCAGTCTTTGTCTTTCTGAGCTCTGTGCAATGCTGATTCTCTTTTCTTCAGAGCTCAGCTGAAATCACGTACCGATTGTCCATTAGTGGTGTTTCAGTCCCTCCCCATTTTCTCTCCTCCACTTTCTGTTCCCAGGATGCCACCCTGTACTTTTTGTCCGTCTCCTCTTGTACTCTTACCGCATGGTGGGATCAGGATGTGTCACTCTGCAGCTTCCCCTCCCCCAGGATTTGGTTGATTGATTGTTCCTCTTAAGAGAAAGACATGATGATGTCACATTGACAGCAGAAGTCCATTTAAAGGGGTTTGTCACTTTCCTTCTTCAGGTGGCTAGGATAAAGAAGAGGAATGAGGTGATTGTGAAAGGGGAAAAGACAATTTATTACGTCCCCCTGCCTCTTTTAGTCTAGACCCACATGACACTGCTGGCTTGCAAAGTTTGGCAAATCCTTGAAGTAGGAGATGCTACTGAAAAGGTACAACACTGCACCTCTCTCTTTCCCAGTGTGCCTCCTCATGCACTTGTGAAAGCCTTGTCTTGGCAAAAGCATCGAGCCCTTGCAAATGTTTTGTATTCTGGCAGGGGTTTTGGTTAGTCATAACTGCATTTAGCATGTGTGAAACACGTGAAGTTCTCTCCCCTTTCAGAGGCGAGGAGCTGAAACCCCACACAAGATTATCTGCCGAATACCCACTTGCCAAGAATGACCTTCCTGGTGGCCAGCCTACAGCTGTTCCCTGTGGCAAGGCAAGGCATCCCTGCTCCCAGGTGTGTGCCCACCACCTCCACCAGCCCGAGGCCAGGCGGGGCCTGGAGGCGTACGTGTGAGGCGAGAGCAGGCCCACCACGCACCTGTAGTAATCCTCCTGTGTCGGCAGGGGCACGCCGTGCAGGGGGTGATGGGCGTGAAGCCACTGCTGCTGCTCCAGGGCCAGGCGCTGCAGCTCGGCCGACTGCGCGTGCATGGCCTGCAGCTGGTGTGCCGCTGACATGGGCGCGGAGAGAGAGCCCGGCAGGTCCCTGTAGGGGGCAGCTGCACCCGAAAACAGAGAAGAAACAAGTTGATGTAACAGCTCCATCCTCGGCCCCACAGCTCAGTCAAGGCTCTGCTGCACTCCCATTGCCTGCCCTGCCCACATGGAGGATCTGCCCACCCCCTGACAGAGCGGTCCTGTCCTGCACCACACCGGAGCTCTGTTTGAAGACCTGTTTGGTCCTGTGACCCCTCCTGATGCCCCTGCCCGTTGGAGCTCTGTTGATCTCTCTGGAGGAGACCAGCAGAATCTGTGAGCATCCTTACCGAAAAGCTGGTGGCGAAGCACTTCATTCTCATGAAGAGGGTGAGGCAGGAGAGGGTTGGGGATGGTTCCAGCCGGGTATGGTATCCGGGTGAGGTGTGATCCCGAAGCGAGTGGGTCAATAAGAGGGTGAACAGAGGCTGAGGCTGGGAAGAAAAGATAACACAAGATAATTGTCCCATGCTTTGTAAAAGCTAACATGAAGAAAGATGCAAGGCGTCATAAAATAGACATGGAGAGAGAAGGCTGGAGTATGTTAGGGATGGAATGACTTCACAGCTAGACAATGCAATACCATGTCCTTCTGAGTGTTACTCTTTTTGCTGCACTGAGTTTCACATGAACCAGTCTGGCAGAGCTCTGTCCCCACACTCCTCAGGGAGAGGTACTGCTCCTTAAAAGTCAGTTCTGCAAGGACCTGCTCTGCAATCAGGTCTGCACCCTGTATCATGCTTATCTGCCACCCTGGTAGTCATTCCTGTGTATACTTGTATTGGATGCTTCCCAGTCTCACCAGGACAGATGCTCTTTCCAGTGGTCTGGACTCACTGTCAGAGTACTGTCTGGAGATGCCCAGCTATGGAGAATGGGGGAATAAACATTCATTTGTACCTGGTGCCACCTCTGAGCAGTTGTGGCTGCTTAAAGTCAGTGTCTGTCACTCTGCTACCAGATCCCACTGAATGCTCACAGTACCTGAGAAGGCACAACACTTTTTTCCTATTATACTGTATCTTGGGCTTTGCTTCCCTGAGATTTTCATCCCTTAGCTTTTAACTTTGCTTTCCTGTAGGATGTGGAAATGGAAGGGACCACCACTCAATTCTGAAGAAGAACAGCCTCCAGTTCCTTTTCCCATCCCATCCCATGCCATCCCATGCCATCCCATCCCATCCCATGCCATCCCACTACCTGCAGCAAGAGCTATAGGAGCAAACCTGATAAACCAACATTTCATTAGTCCTAAGGACACTCTCAAAACTGTTCTAGCAGGGCTTCCATTCCCTCTGCAGAGCCCAACGCGAGGGATAAAGTCCACAGCAGTACCAGCCTGGCAGGCAGTGGGATGGATCACAGCACTTATACTGCATCATCAGATATCCAGAATGGAAAGACATGGTGCAAACAATTCTGCTTGCCACTAAACAGCA